TGGGATGGGATGGGATGGGATGGGATGGGATGGGATGACTTGCAAAGCAACGGTGTCCAAACTGGGGTGGGGGGGGAACAACACCCCTCCTCTCCACACAGCATTTTTGGGGGGAGAGGGGACACACAAAGTTTTGGCTACTATTCGAAGTAGGATGGGATCAGCCTCTCCCTGTTCCACGGGGCTCCAACTCCAAAGAGAAACACAAAATGAACTACAGGGGTGTTTAACCAGCAACAGAGAGAGGGTGCTCAAATAGCACCCCCACCAACCAACACCCCTGGAAAAGGTTTTAAGGATACAAAGACTCCAAACTTTGAACTGCAACAGCAAAAAAAATCCCCCCCTGAACGGCCAAGGGCAGGATTTGGGGTGTTCTTCTTGGAAGCAAAGGAAAACCTAAGGATGGCAGAGGAGAGGGGACACCACCAGCGAACGGGGTGGGCTCAGTTGCAGAGGGACAGTGAGGAGCCCACATAGAAGAGCCAGAAAAACGGGAAGATCCTCTCGGAGAAGGCGGCGGTGAAGGTGAAGATGGGAGCCATGTTATCAGCGTTGTAAAACGCCACCCACCCGCCCTCATAGTCCAGGTACACCCCGATCTTGCGCGGCCGCTCGCAGAGGGACAGCGGCGTCTCCGGAGAGGTGAACGCCTGGTACTGATCCCAATTTTTGCCCTTCCAGTTGAGCCCCACCGCCCAAATCCCTTCCTCGGGGGCGAAGTCAACCTTCTCCTTGCGGCGCACGGACTCGCGGGCGGCACCCAGCACCCAGCTCTCCCCGTCTCCCACCTCCACCTCCCAGTAGTGGCGGCCAGCAGAGAAGCCCTCGGAGGCCAGGACGCAGAAGGCGTAGTCGAAGCGCTTGGGGTGAGCTGGCAGCTCCTGGGGGGCCCCGCGGAGCCGCACGCTCCGCTTGTCCTCCGACAGCACCAGGTACGGGTTGGCCGTGTCGGGGTCCAGGGAGAGCTCGCCTGGAGGGAAAAAGGGAGGAGTTACCTGTGGGATTGGCAGCCTTGACTCAGTGGCTGTGTCCCGAACACACCAGGGAGGACAGAGGTGAGTCACCTGCGGGGCTGTTGTCCCACCCGTGAGGAGAGGGACCCAAGGTTTGTGTCCCAGACTCACCGGGGACAACACGCATGAGTCACTTGTGGGACCATTCCACCACCTGTCAGGGGACTGACCCATCCTCTTTGTCCCAAACCCAATGGGGAGACAACACAGGTGAGTCACCTCTGGGACAATTATCCCATCTGTGTGGGGATTGATCCATTGTCTGTGTGCAAAATCAGAGGGGAAGGACCCAGGTGAGCCACCCATAGTATCCTGAAGAGCCCACACACAGAACCCCCCAGGTCCAGCAAATTCCCACATTATCTCTTGGAAAACGGAAGTCACAGCCCCAAATCCCAGCCAATTCCATGCAAACCCCTGGAAAAGTAGGTCCTACCCCAATCCCAATGGCCTCACCTGTGTCATTCTCCAGCTCAAAGCGCAGGTTTTCTGCAAAAAGAGAAGGAAGAAATTGAGCCCTTGGAGCCCCTAGAACTGCCCAAGCCATGGGAATGATCTCTTCTCCACACTTCCATACTCAAATCTCAGGGAAATCACCACTTTTCCACCTTTTCCCCGGGATGAGCCAATGCTCAAACAACCTGGAGCTCTCCCACCCAGCCCGGGGGGGAATAACAGCCCGGCTCCATCCCAGCCCTGATTCTGCTGGGCTTCCATGTGGGATCCTGGCTAGGAAGCAGCTTTTTTTTTTTTCCAGGAAGGCTCTTGTCAGGCTCACCCTTGAATTCCAGCAGAACTTCCTTGAGCACTGCACTCTTCTGGGAAAAGCTCTTCAGCTTCTTCTCCAGCTCGGAAAAGCCGGGCTCAGGCTTGAGGAACATCCAGCTCTCCAGGCTGCAGAGACATGGGAGTCAGGGACCCAAAATCAGGGAGCTGCCCCTGGGAAGAGCTGAAATACCAGCTCTGCCTGCAGCCAGAGCCTCCAAGTTCACCCAGTTCACTCACCTGCTGCCAGCCGGGACCACACTCTGGAAAGGGAAGAAAACCCAAGGAAACTGTTAGGATCAGCATCTCTTCTATCTCAGAGATCTCAAAATCCTCCCCAAAAACCGGGAAGATCCCATGAAGGGACTTTTGTCCCCATAAGGACTTTTTCTTTTCCATAAATGGAATTTCTCGTCCCATTAATAGGATTTTTTTCCCCAATAAATGGAAATATTTTGGCCCATAAATGCAAATTCTTGCCCATATAAATAGAACCTTTTTCACCTTTTTTTCCACCCCAACAGGACGGTTTTTGCCCCCATAAACGGAATTTTCATTCCCATAAATAGGTTTTGCCCCTGTAATTAGGATATTTTTGCCCAGTACAAGGGATTTCTGTGTCCATAAGCGGGAATTCTTTCCACGGAGACAGAACAGAGTCCCACCTCGCCAGGAGCGTTCCCTGTCCCACTGTCCCCGCCCTGCTCTGCCAGCAGCTTGTCCAGCTGGGCGATGTCCTCAGCCAGCCGGGCCACGCTCTCGTCCCTCCGGCGCCCAATGTCCCTCTCCAGCTCTTCCAGCCGGGAGAGCAGCAGCTGCTCCTTCTCCTCCAGGAACGCCCGCAGCTCCTTGCACTCAGCCACGATCTTCTGCCGCTCCACTTCCGTCTGCTTCTGCAGTTCCACAGCAAAGACCCCCGTGAGGGCACGACCTTGCAGCCCTGGAGCTCAGGGAATCGCCCCCAGATGAGAGAATCTCTGGAGGCTGGGATTCCCACGGGGAGGGAGAACTGCCCCCAGGTGTGTGTGGGACCAGATTCCCACAGCCAGGAGATCCCCAGGTGAGCGTCCAGGACCCCCAGCACTCACCAGCAGCTCCTCACTCTGCCGCTCCCGCTCGGCCTTGGCTTCTTCACGCCCTTTCCTCAGGGAGCTCAAGTGCTCCTGGGGCACCTCCTGGAAGCAGAACAACGAGATCCATTGGGAATTCTTCCCGCGGGTGATCAGGAGCGGAGGGCTGCCGCTGCTAAAATGGCCAAATTCACCCAATCTGGGTTTTTCTTGGAGCTGGAACCAGCAACTGCCCTGCTCCCCTCAACCCCGACCTCAGGCTGTGCCACCAAAATTCACCACAACCAGCCCAAAAACTGAAAAAAAAAAAAAAAAAAA